TGTTTTACGGTACAGTCTTGTTCGGCTTGGTTTAAAACCATGGTTTGGATTCTCTGAAACACTCAACAGCATCCATAGAACCGAGGCTTGACCAACGCGACGGCTAACATTTGCCACAAACATCACCAATGGCATCTAAATTGGAGTTTAGAACGGAAACAAAACGATACAAAGAGATGCAAGAAGGTTGCTTGTTATTACGCCTTGTGGTCTTTCGCCAATTCATCCACGTCAAGTTCTACCGCCAGGATTGGAGAATCCTCTTCCATGGCAAATTCACTGATATAAGCAAACAATTCCAGAGATAATCATTGAGTAAGCGAAAGATGGACTAAGGAAAAATGTTTAAAGCTGATAAGAGACGATAGCGTATTGTCCTACCTGTTACTTACTGGACCATGATCCACGGCTGTCCTCAGACAATATATAGCTCTTCCTACTATGTCTGCCATTGAAACCGGACCAAACGTTCGACTATCATATGCTTCCTATAAAAATCCACCGCACGATAAAGTGAACAAACACAAACCAAAGTAAAACAGAGATTCAGCAACAAAGCTTTTTTCTTCTTCTTATGTAACAATGTACCTTAGATTTCATCTCTTGATTCTCAGCTACGACCCAGCACTGATGCTTTTCGAGAACAAAAGGCTCTTCTTTCTCATCACTTGATACCATTTCGTATCCTTCTATAGCTGCTAACCTTCTGACTAGATACTTATTAGTTTCATTCGGGTCCTTCAAGACAACAGCATCTCCAACGAAAACATACCTAGACAAAAAGCAAGAAATCCAACGAATAATCCACACACTGAAACTAGAAAAGCCTTTGAACGGAAGGGATTCAACTGATGTCTGGATACGTTAAAAAGCTGAAACCCAAAAATTAACAGTTTGAATGAGATCGGAGTTAATATAGTTTGTCTGTGCCAACCTACTCAATTCTGTTCAATTCAATCTGTCAAAGTAAGTAGACATGATGCATACAGACACTCACTATACAATTTATCATAAGCAAAACGACATGAAATCTAATTTTTTTTGGCTAGTGTCCACAAACGTTAAGATGAAGTACACCGTAATTTTTTGGCTCAGCGAAAATGAGCGAAGTAATCTAATGTTCATGATTTGAGATAAAGTATAACTCCTAAGCAAGAAAGGAAACATAATAATCCAATGTTTATGACTTAAGATAAATGTGCGATTGTTCTCCAACATCCTTATGACACATCCCTAGAAGTGCAACTACAGAGCCACATTTCATGAAACACCAAGTGGTAACTTCAAGATTTATGCAAGTGGAAAATAAAAGGACTAACCATTAACGCCAAGAAACATACCTTGTATCAACAACTGGTAGCTTACGGACAAGTAGCGTGTTTTCATTTGTTCCCATGGTTGGGGCCATCTCTTGTCCTTTATTCGAGTGTAAGTAAGTTATCCTTCCATAGAATAGATTCTTCATGACTATACCAATGAGCTCCTTGTCACTGAGTTTCTCTCTAGTATGTTTCTGAAAAACAGAGTAACTCAGGGATGGTAAATAAAACAAAACAGATTCTTCATGCCACGCTTTTAAAGAAAAAGGTAATGAAATGACTTAGGACCAGAACAATCACGACGGCTTTTACGGGTCATTAGATTCAATCTGAAAGAACAATCTTGAATTCATATTCACAAATGATACTACATGATACACATAGTATCACAAATTCAATAGCTCTGATTTGACTATTCAAGAATCAGAAGCTATTGAAACTCATTTCAACCAAACTACTGATCCCTTAGCACAAAGTTCCTGTTTTTAACATCACCAATTAAGAACATATTGATCCAATTTATCCATAGTTCGAGAGAGTCAAAATGTCTTGAACAATGGAGCTTTAAGAAAGGCATAATTGAATGGGAATCAGAAACCCTGGCCAATTATAATCATTTCTAAAACCAATTTCATTGATTACAAAGAGAGAACCAGAAGATGAATCAATATATCCTGTAAGCTAAAGGCAAGGAACTGAAGCTAGACACAAAATGAGTCAGAGAGAGAGAATTAAAGAAACCTTGAGGCTGAGAGTGAGGGAATACTCCAGCTTGTGAGCCATGTATCGGACCCAATTCGAGATAGAGGCCATCGTCGGAACCGTTATGAGAGGTTCGATTTCGGAAAGGGACTCTTCGCCGTGTCGGTTTGCTCAGCCTTGTCGCCGCCGTTGTCGAACTGGTCTTCTTTATGTGTTTGGTCATAAAAATGTTGTGACCACAAAATTGCAAAAAGAAAGTTTTCAAATTAGACTCCTAACTATTCTCCCATTTTCGAATTTTCACCCAGTATTAAATAATGGAACACATTAGCCCAAAGTTTCTTTCAAATTAGACTCCTAACGGTTCTCTAGTTTCGATTTTTCACCCAGTATTAAACAATTTAACACATTACCCCAAAACAAGCACGAGGACCACCTGACCAAAACACAAAGCTTTGCTTAGTTGAAAGTATGGGACTTTCTGAACATGACACGTGTTCAACAATCCTCCTCTTCTCTTTTTTACCTCTCTCTCTGTTGAACATTTCGGTCCGACAGATTTGCCGATTGAAGCCAAAACAAATACCAAACAAAAACTGAATTCGAGAAGATTTGTTTCACCTGTAAGAAACTCCATTTCAGGTTCTCGTTTTCATTGTCTTCTCTAATTTAAAGGATTAGCACAATTGATAGATCCAATTTATTGTAATTTGTTCTTCCCTGATCGCTCTGTGTATTATAATTTGAAAGATTTGGTTGATTTTCATTCGGATTACATGCTTGTGTAGTGTTTGAAATTGTAGATCGTTAGTGACTCGAAAATGAATCGGAATCAATTTAGTTTTTTTTGTAGATGAATTTAGGGTTTATGTGCAGGTGGATCACAAGAAAATGGACAAATTGAAGATAGCGGAATGGGGAGAGAAGCTGAAGACTGGAGGAGCTCAAATGAGTAGAATGGTGAGTGGGAAAGTGAAAGAGATGCTTCAAGCTCCGACCTTGGAATCGAAAATGGTGGATGAAGCTACTTTAGAGACTTTAGAGGAGCCTAATTGGGGAATGAACATGAGGATTTGTGCTCAGATCAACAACGAAGAGTTTAACGGCACGGAGATTGTTCGAGCTATCAAGAGAAAGATCTCAGGGAAGAGCCCTGTGAGCCAGAGGCTAGGCCTTGAGCTTCTTGAAGCTTGTGCTATGAATTGCGAGAAGATTTTCTCTGAAGTTGCTTCTGAGAAGGTTCTTGATGAGATGGTTTTGTTAGTCAAGAACGGAGAAGCTGATTCCGAGAACAGAAGCCGAGCTTTTCAGCTTATTAGAGCTTGGGGAAAATCCCAAGATCTTGCTTATCTTCCTGTTTTCCAACAGACTTACATGGTGAATCTCTATGAATCTGATTTTGCTTATGCAAATACGGTTTTTCTGTTAATGTGCGTAATCCCGGG